GGCCACAGGAGCCGCCGGTACGACGGTGGCATTGCGCTAAGGTTCAGTGACATTAGGGTAAGACTTAGTTAAGGGGGGAATTTGACCTAAGATAACGCCTATAATTAGGGTTACGACACAGGATTATTTGCTCTTCCTGATAGTTGGTGCAAGGCCACCTCTTTTGGCAGTAGATCACAAGAAAGTGTCAAGGCACGATCAATATGGCATGCTGAAGACTTTTATAAGAGCAATGTTTTAGGGGGGGGGGATATAAATCTGCGTCTACAAGGCAGGCGAAAGCTGGTAAAAAACGCCTTAACCGCATACCGGCTTGCCACCATTAGATACACAAGCGTGAGCAAATGGCTGGTAGATTAGCGAAAAGGGAATTTTCGTCTTATAAATACCCTATTGGCGCGGGTATAGGATGGAGGATAGAGCGGGGATACGAAATATGCTCTACACTCGGGAATCCACGCGCCTTTCCACGGAGATTCACCAGAGCCAAAGATATCACTTACCCGCGTTTCGCAAAGTGGCATCAACAAAATTCGGCAGGTGCACCTCATCCACCTTGCGCATGTAGTCAGCGGAGGCCAGAAATGCATCTCGAGTAAGGGGATGTTGAAGACTGCCCGCAAGGTAGTTGAAAGGAATAGGACCCGTAATCTGCGGCAAAAAACAAAGGGATCGATTAGAATCAAGCAAAGAAATACGTAAGATGTCAAGGTTTTGGCCAGAACATTATAAAACGACCTTCGAGTCCTACACATAGTTTGCGGTTCAGTCCTTGTCCCCTGCATAAATTCACCACCCTGTCCACTTTGGACGTAATAATTGCCTCCCCTTTTTATGGTAAAATACTTGACCCAAACCTTCGGCCTACCCGTGGAGCTCGCCCTCCTAGGGGCTGGAGAAGAGATACGCAGACCTAGACCAGACAGCCCCCAACCTTCGTAACTCAAGCCTAGTTTGCGGAGCATGCATCACAGCAATGACGACTTTAGATTCCACCTCGACGACGAAAAGAGTACTGGGAACCTTATCATCAATAGTGGCAATAGAAAAAGTGCTCTTATAAGAGGCACTGTATTGGAGACATGGCAGGAGAAGGACCACATATCCGTTCATGGGCCGGCTTTCAATACTCCACTGGGGTGAACAAGGCCGCGAAATCGGTCGGTTTGCCCATAAACGCTGGGAAGATCAAAGTGTTTTCATGCTGCATCTGTGCCCAAGAGAAGACACCTGTCGAGGTTAGTGACTGTTAACTGTCATCATCATAATCATAATGATCATCGTCGTTACCGCCGCCGTTGGCAATAGTTGTGATACCAGTAATAGTATTAACCATCATCATAACGTCGATTCGAAGTGCGAGGTTAAAATGACCTGCTATCCGGGTGCAAGAAAATGAGACGATTATCACGAAGTACAAGTAGTACCTGTTGGAGGGAAGTCGCCTCCTTCAGAAGATTTCGATGTATCAAGGCGGCTGCCATCTGAAGTCGAAGGATTGTCTGGGTCCGTCCCGTGGTATGATCGATTATACCAAGGGCTACAAAAGTGACAGCGCGAAGAAGGAAGAGAGTATATTAAAATCTGATTAGTAACTACTGTAGAACTCAAAATAGAAAAAATCAGGTTCTAATAAAGCTATTTGGGCAAGCAAATGCTCCGATTAGTTGAGGGCCCCGAAGTGGATTAAATAAAGCTGAAATAAATCGAAGAGTATTGTCATAAGAGCCCGAACACAGAGTTTAAGCACCAAGGGTTGGCTTTCCAGGCCCTAAGGTGGTCCAAGTTCCGCGATTACTGGAAGATGGGAACGTGTACAAGTGACTTATAGACCGCTAAATTTATCAAATGACTCACACCTTCAAATTCTTATACCCCAATATAACCTCTTTTTCATGGAATGGTGCAACAGAAACCATAAGTAGGTAAACTCATTGAAAATTGTCTAAGAAGTGTTGGCCTGATTTTTCCGAAGCAAGGATAGGCAATAATGTGAAATAAATAGAAAAGCGACAAGTCTTAAAATCGGAAGTCTAGACAGGAAGGCCCAAATCATGGGAATAAAAAGTACCATCTTGAAGTGTCTCCTTCGGCCAGGTATCGAAGAGGGTTGACACGTGGGGTCCATTCATGCAGAGGGCTAAGTGTGCCGGAGGGGAATTTCTAAGATCTTCCACCAGGGACGAATAACCCAAATCAGAAGATGAGCGTTCTTGTGCAGTCATGGCGTGATACCTGAAGAGTGATCAAATCAGATTAACAGGATTGGGAGAACGTGTATGGACACCGCTGTCATACTCAAAGAATTACAAAGCGATAACTCACTTGATGAGTCTTGAGAGTGCTCGGAAGGGTAGTCGACGTTCTTTGAAATCCTGTGGCATGCTGTCGACTACCTGATCGATGAGCTTGATGCCCTGCAAATCCGCGAGATGGCCAAGGATCAGATCAACACCTGGAGAAAAAAAAGAATTAGTAGGTAGGTGTATCAAACAAACAGTTGGACAGATATGATACAGACTGTCTACCTAAACACATTCAGGCGGTCTCAAGATACTGAGGGAAGGGGGGAGGGAGACAACATTTTAATGAAAACTTACGTCCAGGGCCCCAAATTCTTCTGACACTCTCGATAACAGCTGCTGTTGTTTCCTCTGGCAACTTCCCGCTAGAAGAAATAAAATAGCCTTAGGAAGCTAGTAATACACATTTTCCATTGGCCCGGCATGGGAACGGTTCAAAGAAAACTCTGCTCGAGTTGTCCTAGGTTGAAAATATTATTTCCTGTTAGACTTGTTAGTCCTAGATTATAGGGCTCAATTGTTAACCGTGCAAATAAATGTGTGACGGCTTTCAACTGCAACCTATCTTTGAATGACACAGGCAACGAATGGAAAAACACAACAATTTGAAGTTGCACATTCTTTATCTAAGTCATGCAAAAACGGGTTGCAGTTAAAAAGCCGTCACGAGATTTGTTGGTATCAGTAAATCCTGCTGTCTAAACCTATTTGAATTGGTTTTTGCTTGGTAACTAGATATAGAGCTTGTCAGTTGTGTCATCAAAGTGTGGACAACAAACTGTCCTCCATTAAAACGATTACAAACTCCAACGTCTAGCTTAAGACGAACAGCATGATAGTGGAGGCGGCAGAACGACGGGGGATTAAGTGTGGTAAGGCAATCCAACTATCGAAAACGGACCTGATTAGAGTGTCGGCCAGATAGGTGACAGATTCCTTTGCGAGTTGCATCTAAAACAAAAAATACGGCGAAATGCAGAGGGCTTCGGACATAGAAACGACAACATTCATCACTGAAAAAACGCGGAGACCACATTTTTTTAAAAAAAAAACAAGTGACAGAATCGGAGCCGAATGCTTGTCTGCATCGGCGGAGGCATCAGCGTAGCGTCCTGCCCAAAGCAATCGTTTTTTAAGAAGAGGGAGAAGGGCTTCCGGTGTCATGCTTTCAACTAAAGTGCATCGAGCCAACTAAATTAATTCCACAGTGCCCTGAAATTTCAGTTGGGTTGTGTATGTTGCAGGCCATAGACCATAACGTGGATAGGACGGCCGTCTCTAGCTCACTGGTCCCGGGTTCGAAACTCGAGTGTAGCGGCAGTTTCTGTGGCTAAACTGGAATTGGGTAACTGCGGCTGACGATGGGTAATGACCCAGAAATACGCGTATCTCGCAGTCCTAACGTTTGTCGGCAATACGTTGGTTACTTAAAGTTAGCGAGTAACATCATTGTTTCGTCCTTGAGAAAAAGTGGAAGTGTCCACACCTCGCCAGACGAAACAAGCCAGGGTTGGTGAATCCTGGACCAGATCGGAGTACACCTATGTACTAATAACGTTCTCTGTTTGGCGAAATCCCAAGATGATAATGTGAGAATAAATAACTCAGTTGAAAAGATTTAGGCCAGAATTGCTTACATAATTTATCTGAGAGGGCACAGGAATAGGAAAATCCCCCTCTCTTTCTCAGACAATGCATGTGGCCTAGCGCTAAATCCTGGGCAGGGTAGATATTCCCGCGTCCTAGCTCTAACACAAACCATAACCCAAATGTTAACCCCAGTCTTAACACCAATCCTAGGTGTTTGGCGCAAAGCCAGTCGTTTTGTGAGTAGTTCTTGTTCTCATATCTTGTTGGGGCGGAGGGGTAATATAAGCAAGCCTTTTTCAGATTTAGTACAGTACTAACCTTTCGGAGAACTTGCTCGGCTCACCGGGGCAACGACTTAAATACTCAAAATAGAATAGAAATTCGGAAAAATTCCCCATCCGGTAGCCTCTAACTTCGCCGAACCTACCAGGCTCCGAAGTGGCATTGTTAAAATGAATCCGCTCTAGCGAGCCTTTTCTCCTTCGCCAAACAAAACTCTTGCCTACCAATGGAGTGGCTTTAAACAAAAACCAAGACTATGGACGCAGTGTTCAGCAAAATACCAATGAGGAGAGCCTACTTACCAGAGAAAATAAAACGAGCAAACCTGCCTTTGGAAACAAAATGTAGTCTGCTACCACATTTATGACCAATAATTTCCGTGAAATTCTTTTGGCTCAATGAAGGCGGTAACTGACGTACCACACAGACACTTGACGTGGCCGGGATAATAGTTTAAAAAATCTTCGTGTTCAACTCCTCAGAGCCTAAACACAACACAGATACCCCGTGCAGTCGCACCTAAAAACCAAACTTTGAAGTTAAGGGCCAGCACCTTGACCGAAGGCATAAGCAGTCACTAACAACGACCCAAATGTTTGCTTTGGCGGTAGCGATGTGTCTTTGCGTATCAAGAATACACAACACGACGGCGGTCAGGTCATACTTACTGGGTCATTCGTATCCGTTTGCGACTTTTCCTTCGTGGCCAACTCTGACAAGGACTGTGACGCAGGGACCTCGTTCCGAGCACCTAAAACAGTGAAAGGGTAAGTGGAAGTAAAGCTGGGCGAATGACTGCCAGGAAAGAGAAGAGCCTGACTGGAATCTGGAGCAAGCCTATTTAGAGCAGCTGAGATTCGTCCTTCTCTGTCGATGGCTAAATTTTGCAAGACAGCAGCAGTGTTTGTCAGAGCCTCTGGTACAGCTGTTTTCGCTTTCAGTACAGCGCTAAAGGCTGAGTAAAAGTGAGCTTTGAGTTAATAATCCCTAGTGGAGAGAAGTACGATAACAGTAGAATGCGCGCCAGACAAAAAAATGAGAGAGAGCCGATGCCGGTTCGACTAACGAGGACTATGAATAGGCTCATCGAGGTTAATTAACGAGGAACACCTGCGTCCACGTTATTAGATCAACGACCCTGTTCTCTACCGCGGTATTGGACGATAAAATCGATTTAAGGGGAGGAGAGGGAGGAAGTATTACAATCCAGCACGCCAATGTTGGGTAACGACCATACTAGTGGCGCAGGAGCGCTTCGAATATGTAATGAGAGTATAACCTGTCCTGACTTTTGCTGTTGTAATGGAGCAACATATTCAACAAGCATGTTTGTCTAGAAGGAGCAGATAGTTAACATACCCTGGGGGGTCGCAGTTTGCACCGAAAAAAAGAGCTGACGAGCAGAACTTCGTAGCTTCTGTTGCTTGGTGCATACATAACGCATTGCTGATCAAAAAACCGACTTTCAAAAAATTTACAAAGCCCTGAAGGATCAATTCTCTCTACTGATAACAATAAAATCTGGAAACTAAAATAGCAAAGGGGTCATTCGTCATTTCGGAAATCATGCATTAGAGAAATCCGTGTACTGGTGAATCATTGGAGGCATAGTTTCATCCACGTACTCGAATAAAAAAGCTATAGATGCACAAATGAGCCTCTGCCAGTGGTCAGGATCTCCCAAACCTCCGCTTTGTTAACCCTGTACAGGGTAGTTTCTTCTTTACTGAAACCGTCAATTAGTTGCTGTCCTATTGGGGTGGGCTAAGAGAAAACATTTCCTACAAATTATATATATTTTAGTTGCCACAAAATCCTCCTACGGTAAAATCGAGTTGATAGACGCCATTAAAATGACTGCTAACACTGCCAGGGAGATAGTCTTTAAACGGGGAGATTTCTACATAGCATTATTCAGCTGGGAGTGTATAATAAAGTGGTCAGCAGCGCCGCTGTTAAGAGACCTACTACAACTATAGGTCGATATGGGCTTAGTCTGTATGGTTGAGGTAAAACAAACAAGCAGAACAGCAAGTACTTACTGGCAGGGACGAGGAACTCATTTAATCTATGGAAAGCGATAGATGAAGCTTCGACAGGAGATACTTCGAGGTGCCTGTTGAGGGAAATAAAAATGGGTTAGCGTCCGAGGCCTAAAACTTCAACAATGGTTCAAATGGCTCAATGGTCATGGCTTGGGACCTAATAACCAAAAGGTCGCAGGTTCGAGCAGCGGGTGTTGCACCAGCTGGGTTTAGGTATGACTGGCTGATGATGAACAATAGACCAGAAATGGCCATTGCAGCCTCCCTAGTCTTTGCCGGCAATAGCTTTCTTCCTATAATATGCCAGCCGTTAAGCAGCTGCTGGCGGGGGCTCGAAGCTGAGCCCCAAGACAATGATATATACATGTTTCGTAACCAGATAAGTGAGCCCAACACTATCACTATATTCTCGATTGTAATGGAAGACAATGTTACCTTCAATGACCAAAAGGTCGCGGGAGCGAATCTCCGGTGATCCACACCTGGGGTGGCTGATGATAACGAATAAGCCAGAAATGGCTATCCTGGTCTCCGTAGTCTTTGTTGGTGCTACCTGATCAGATGTATGAACATATATTTTTTCTACCCGTTTACCTGTTCTTTTGTGTCGTTGTCTGGATGACAGCGATGTCGCAGACAAAAACCTTTTTCAGTTCGTTCTAATTTAGCATTCATTCCAGGTGATTTACGTTATCTGGTGCGTGTGCCACACTCAATATAATCGGCCGATACAGCATTACCCTCAAAAGGGGGTCCTCATGTTGGCGGAAGCATGCATCAAAAGCCCTACAACAGGTCTGACAACGTTTAGAAGCAAGTTTTTCACGAAATGTGCGACATCCGAGAGTTACACCCCCAACCGGGGCTTTACAACAGTCTCCGATTTTTCAAAAAACGGCTATGTAAGCAAGTGGCACGCAATAAATGTCGATGTCTCCATAGCTATTCAATTAGGCTGG